TCTGCGGTCTGACACGGGCAGGGCTGCGGATCACCCCCACAGGGCCGCTGCCTCTCCCGCGCTCACGCTGCCTGCTCTATCTACTTCTGATTCCCCAGCAAATATCTGCAATGATGCGTCGCGAGCCAGCAAGTCGGGAAAAGGGCATTGCATCCGGGCGGAAGCCGTGACCTTCAGGAACTGCAGGTCTCCGTCTCCCCGGAGCAAGGCAGTGGCGCCTCCCATCCTAGTTGGAATCCACGTTCTTTTCTGGAGAGCTCGGTTGACTTCTCTCCTCCGCCAGGCCCCGGTTGGTGTTCCTGCCACCACAAAGGCTTTTGGGAGAGGACAGCAAGGACAGCGGGCTCTGTCTGGAGGGGGAGTCTGAGCAGGGAAGCGTGGGAAGGGCCATTTCTCAGAACTGGGTCCCGCTCAGCCCCACACAGGGGCAGAGAGGAAAGCTGCCCAGATGGCTGGGAAGCCAAGACTCTGTCGTTGTTCACTCAGCCCCACACAGGGGCAGAGAGGAATGCTGCCCCGCTGGCTGGGAAGCCAAGACTCTGTCGTTGTTCTTCGGTGTTTTGAGGTTTCCATCCACCTCACCTCGAGTTCATCCCCTGACATTTCCGATTTCAGAGTTTCGTTCTGAGTCAGGACCTCAAGTGAAATGCGTTCCCTCTGAACTCACCATCGCTGGCAGCCAGCTAGTGATTTTCAATAAAAACATGGCTTTGGAAGGCATGGCTTGAAAAGGATACGGTCTTGTATGTTTTTTTAGAAAGATTTTTGCATGTGCTCACTGGAGAGACAGAAAGCGAGAAATTACCCCCCAGGGGGACGGCCACGCCGCAATCCCTTCTCCTCCATTCTCCTCTCGGGATCTTGGGCACGCACGCACACGCGCCCGGCGTGAGTTTGAAGCTGTTGGGTCTAGGACTCAAACTGCGGTCGACCATGTGGGAGTCCAGTGGTGTAACCATTACGCCATCTGCCATTGCCAAGGGCACAGTCTTAAGAGCTGTCTTGAGCCAGACTGTCATCTCTCTCAAGGTCCAGACTATAGGGTTTTGTTTTTGTTTTTGATTGACAAATACTTGTGCACTCTGGGTGTTAGGGGTACAGTGTGAGGGCCTCACGTGTGGGCGCACTGCGGAATGGTGACGTCAGGCTCTCTGGTTACCCAGTACCGGTCAGTGTACAGGCTAGCGGGGACAGACTGACGCTCAGCCAACAGTAATCAGGGCTAAACCCCAGTGAGTCACCCCCTGCCTTCATTTACTGCAACAGGAGCGCACAGGGCCAGAACCTGCTTTTGCGTCAGGCTGTGTGTGACAAGGACTCCGATGCCACCTGCCTTTGCAGCTGAAGGGTGTGCGTGGCAACTGGGAAAGCCTGAGAACCGGGCATAGGGGTAGCCCAGTCCCGTAAGATCTCCACATTTTATGTCTCACTGACTCTTCCAGAAATTCATAGAAAGCCCGAAGGCCATTCCCCACTGCGAATGCCTACCACTAGACCCATGTCTTAGAGCCGTGTGAAGAAAGACACGTTTTCATTGAATTAGCCTAATGGTTGTCAGGTAGATTTCCAGTCCCCCAAGCTGCATGGGCTCCTTGCAGAAATGCTGCCTGCTCCCTGGCAGGTGCTGCACCTCCTTTTTGTGTTAATACTAGTTATGGACAGTGTTCACTGAACGGTTGGTGCGAGAATCAATGCAGAAAGCAGCAAGAGAGGGCAGTGCAGTCAGAGTGGCCCCAACGACATGTGAGCCAAGGCCCTCCTCCCCTGGCCAGGGCAGCAGAGGACTCAGGCCCACAGTCACACACTGTCCCGGTGTGCTTCAGGCACACTAAGATCTAAGAGCCACCCTCAGCATTAGTGTTCTCTCCCTCCTTTACATCGGAGAGAAAAAAGATGGGGGAGCGGAGACAGGAAATGACGTTTTCTAACTCCTAGCTGCTCAACTTGGGCCCTGTCTCCTAAATCACCAGTCCCCTACCCCGGGGCTGAGGTCGGTATAGGACCACACAGCGGGAGGTGAGCACTGGGCAGGCGAGCAAAGCCTGCTCTGCATTATAGCTGCTCCCCTTCGCTCACATCACCTCCTGCCCCTCGATGGGACCACCTAGCCACGGGACAACGAGCTTGGAGCGCCCACTGACTCCGCATTCTGGTGAGTTGTAATATTACCCCATCATCCACTACAATGTAATAATAATAGAAATAAAGTGCAAAATAATTGTAATGCCCGTGAACTGTCCTCAAACCGTGCTCTCGACGTCAGGTCTATTAAAAAATTGTCTTCCACGACACTGGTCCCTGGTGCCAGAAAGGTAGACTGCTGTTCTACATAAGCCTCCGAGGCGGGTCTGTCCTCAGGGCGACGGTCAGCTGGCACCGACAGGTAGAATACTGCCAACGCCAGCCACATGCCACAAACTGAAGCTCACCGGCGCAGCGTCCTCATACCCCACCCAGAGTGCCCCTGCATTCCATGGGGGTCAATAGTCAGCCTGCAGGAGCCAGCCGGAAGTGTAGTGGTGAAGGTGCTGGTCTCCCACGTAGTTGACCGCAGTTCGAGTCCTAGACCCACGTGTGTGTGCATGCCCAGAATCTTGAGAGGAGAATGGAGGAGAAGGGATTGCAGCATGGCTATCCCCCCAGGCGGGGTGTGGTTTCTTGCTTTCTGTCTGTCTGTCTGTCTGGTAAGTGCACACACCCTATAGCAAAAAGCTCTCTCAAACAAACAGAAATAGCCTTCCTCAAGCTCCTCCTGCCCTGTTTTGTTCTAGGAAGCTGGTGACTCTGGTCAAACTGATTTCTTTGGCCCGGCTTTCTCCTTGTCAGCAGCGAACACCCATCGTTTGGCTCGGGAGAAAACGGAGCCATGTCTAGCTGCAGTCGACGGCCGGAGAAAACAGTTCTTAAGCATCAAACCAAATGATCTGAAGCCAGAAGGGACAGTGAGATGTCGTCAACGCCACACCAGAGAGAACGTTCTCGAAACACTCTTCTTTCATCCCCCGAGCGAGCGAACCCTTGTCTCAACCCTACTGCTCTTTATTTTTTATGTAGTTGAATCCTTCCTGTCAGGACTCAGCCTTTTCTCTAGTTCTGACCGTGGGGAAATAAGTAGATGCTCACACGGCGTTTCATATTTTAAGGTTTTTAGTAAATGACTGCTCAGCTGTGTCCCGACCTTGGGGAGGGGGACACACCTCCTGGTTTTTGGCTCTTTCTGCTTTGTCTGCTTGGCCTCCGGTTCTGTTAGCGGGCAGCCTCGTTTTCATCTGAGTGAATTAAGTCCGTAAGTCAAACTCAAGTCCCCACCACTGGAATCACCTGGCTTATCTGTTTTACACGTTGTACTAAGTGTTGGGTCTTAGGAGGCGACTCGGTTTAAACAGATGACACTTAAAAATGACAATCGATTTTTCCTAATGCCACCTTCAAATCAGAAATGCAGACACTTGCCTTTGGTAGTTGGCCTTTGATTGCTTTAAGTGGATAGGACTGATCTGTTAGAAAATGTTCATTGACACAATAATTGTACGTATTGATAGGGCACCGTGGTGTGGCGTTTTGATGCGTGCAAGTAGTGTGTTATAACTGATCAATTTGCACATCCATCATCTCAAACATTTGTCATTACTTTGTGCTGGGAACATTTAAAATCCCCTCTTAAAGCTATCTTGAACTATGCAATTAATTATTGTGAACAATAGTCACCTAGCTGGGCTATAGAACACTAGAACTTATTTCCACTAAATAATTGGATTTTTTTTAATTTTTTGCCATAGGGCACGTGTGCGTGTTGGAGAGAGACAGAGAGAAAGTAAGAAATCACCCCCTAGGAGGGATGGCCACATTGCAATCCCGTCTCCTCCTGGGATTTGGGGCATACATGTGCATGCACTTGGCATGATTTCAAGCCACTGAGTCTGGGACTTGAACCACGGTCGGTCTTGTGGGAGTCCAGCCCCTTAACCACTACCCCACCTGTTGGACGCTCTAGTTGGAGTTTTAACCAACACCTCCCTACCTTCCCCACCTACTAGCTTTCCCAGTTTCTCATCGCCACTGTCCTCTCCCCTTCATGAGAGGTGACGGGCTTTATCCATCTTGGTCCCATATTGATCCAGAAGTGAAATCAAAGACAATATTTATCTTTTTGTTTTAAAACTATTTGCACAGTAACACCCTCTGAGCCTTAGTGCTAAACGAACAAGCATTTACAAGAACCGCACAAGGTACGCGGTCTCCCAAAGCAATTCTGACTCCAAAATTAAATCCACGAAGCTCCTATCACCTTGGCCTAGGCTTCTTTACGCTGCCTTCTTGGGAGGGAACAGGCAGGAGACTCGGTGTCCAGAGGGACCTGATACAAAGACACGGCCAATCCTGCTCTCACAAGCCCTGAGCAAACCCACAGCTCTTACACAACAGAGCTGGGCCCTGGGCCTTGAGCCAAACACCATCCTGAAAACAAACACCTCATCTACAAAGTTCGCATTTCTACACACACACACACACACACACTTAAGGGCACGACTTTAGTACTTTTTTCATTTGTGTTTTCAAAGCTGAGCATATACTAGAACGACATCACCATAGTGGTTATGTAAATAAGAGACAAAACCCCATCACAGCCTCTGGGCAATTGTCTTCCCAATACTGTAAGCTCTTTGACGGAGTAAAAGCTTCCTCTGCCGTTCAAGAGCGAGAAGCCTGGGCTGGACAGTGGCTTGGCAGTAAAACATGGTTCCCCCGGGGAAGCTGGCCCTTGCGGGAAGGTTCTGGGTTCACACCCGGAGACTGCTCTGAGAGCACCAGGCATGCACAGGCCCATGGTTCAAGGCTGGCTGACACTGGGGTGGGTGGAAGCATCGGGACCCCGTTAGGGTGCTGTCTCTCTGTCTCTCTCTCTCATTCATGAGTAAAAGAAAATACTAAATAAACTTAAAAGAAGAAGAACCATGCCCAGAGCAAGCCCTGAAGGCCTGCCCCGGCCCGTTACTCACAGGTGGAGAGGATCATGGCTGCCCGTCTGCAGGGAGCACAGGGCGGCCGTCAGCTCTTCCGCAGGGCTCCCCTCACAAAGCACATCTTTTACCTGAAATCACAGTTCTCACGGACGAGTTAGCCCCGCCCACTTCCTGCTCTCAGAACCTCCGAGAAGAGAAGAGCGTGAGTGATAACCCCGGCGACATCAGAAAGCCCAGCGCCGCACCCGGCCTCCGAGGCCGCTGTGACTTCCTCGTCTCCGAGCGCGTGGGTGTGGGGGGCTCACAAACAACAGTTTCAAGAAATCACAACATTTTGGTAAAAGGAGCCCTTGAAAGCATCGAGTTCTACTCCCCTCTGTGAGCAGAGAAGGAAATGGAGGCACAGATCGAGTAGGGGACTTGCCCAAGGCCTCGCGGTTCACGGCAGAAGCAGAATTGGACCCTAGGCTTTGCAACATCCAGTCTAGAATGTTCCGTCCTCACACCCCGTCTTGACACTTCACAGACCTTACTAGAAGGGGGCAGGCTACCTGCTAACACACTTAAAGGTGACTGTGGCAGGGCCGAGAAATGAGATAACACACCGACAAACAAGCCTGCTCGGGAGTCTCACTTCGCCCCTTGGAAAACTACCAAGTGTGTCACTAAATAAGGAAATGACTTCATTGATGCTAAGAATGATGATAAATGGCAATAAATGGCCCTTGCACCTCCTGACCAAGATGGCTTCTTTTCTCTGAGGGCTCATGAGGAAAAAGGAAGGCTCTCAACCAGCAGGTGCCGGGTCAGACTGGACTCACTCAGCAGGTCCCGGGTCGGACTGGACTCACTCAGCAGGTACCGGGTCAGACTGGACTCACCCAGCAGGTCCCGGGTCGGGCTGGACTCACTCAGCAGGTCCCGGGTCGGGCTGGACTCACCCAGCAGGTGCCGGGTCGGGCCGGACTCACCCAGCAGGTGCCGGGTCAGACCGGACTCTCCCAGCAGGTCCCGGGTCGGACCGGACTCACCCAGCAGGTGCCGGGTTGGACCAGACTTACCCAGCAGGTGCCGGGTCGGACTGGACTCACCCAGCAGGTCCCTGGCCGGACTGGACTCACTCAACAGGTCCTGGGTCAGACCGGACTCACTCAGCAGGTCCCTGGTCGAACTGGACTCACCCAGCAGGTGCCGGGTTGGACCGGACTTACCCAGCAGGTGCCGGGTCGGACTGGACTCACCCAGCAGGTCCCGGGTCGGGCTGGACTCACTCAGAGTCTGGACACCAGAGTCTACAGTGACACGGTGATATCTCACTGACCCAGGGACCACATTCCCCCGGGCCTGTGGGAACACCTGAGGGGCAGCTCAGGACACGGCCTTGCCCTTGCTCCTGGCAGCTGTCTGCTCTGAGCTCTGCATGCCCCGGCCCGCTCTGGGGTTCTGCTGGACCTACCTGTGAGGACACCACCTGGTCCTCCTCCAGGGACCAGCATCTCCATTAGCGAGAGCATCCTTGCTCTGGGGAAGACTCGTAAGATCTAGAAACGGATCGGTCCCCTAGGTGGGTTTTCTGCCTGATTCCAGTTTACTATGGGTGCCACTGGCAGGATCGCTTGGCCCAAACACAGGCCTTGTCGGGGGCCCACCAAGATGCATGTGTTAGTGTCAGACAGGCAGGGTCAGGCAGGCCTGCTCCCCTGTGGGGACATGTGCTGAGCAAACACCACATGCTCTTTTGGGGTTTGGCAGAACCTTGTAACTTCAGGCCTGCTCCCCGACCCCAGATGGAAAGTCCCACCCGATCCGAGTGGCCAGTGTCAACAGTCCTGAAGGGTATCAACCGCCTTCCAGGGAAGACCCTGCCACGCTTCAAGACCAAACCGCCCCAGCCCCCACCCTTGCCTTAAGGCGAGACCTGCGTACTGTACTAGGCCCGCTGCATGTCCTCGTGCTACCTGTGTCACTTAGCGTGTGTTAGCTTTGGGTTTCCAGCACCATCTCCACCGCCATGGGCTTTCATGATCTGTTCTGGGAAGACGAATGCCCACGGTGTGTAAGTTACATGCTACATAAGCCCCTGGCTATCCATCAGTAACAGCTCTGTGAGAGGTCACGGGGGGGGGGGGGGAGACAGGAGAGGGAATCAGGGCCATCAGAAACACCACGCATCCGGGTGAGCGCCGGGCCGGCCTGACTGCAGCTGCCGGCTGTCCCTGGGAGCGCACTGTGCTTGGCCCAGCGAGGGAGCTTCCATGCCACCCGCGCATTGGCTGGCCTCTGTCTTCAACTCTGTCAGCAGGCAAGAACCGAGGATGCTGGCCACCCCGTGACATCCCTCTGGTGCATGATCCGGATCGCCCAGCCTTCTGGGAGGTGGCAGGACGTCCTCCCTGCCCCTCCCTGTGTGACTGTGTGCCTTGACTTCTCTGTCTGTCTTGCCTTCATCCACCTGTCCTGTTGTTTCTGCTCCTGGACTAGGCGAGAACTCCGCCTGGAATAGACAGGTCTCACTCTCCTCCCGCATAAACTACCCCTCACAGCTTCCCTTGTGGTTAAGACGCCCTTCCTTGTCTTTTTTTTTTTTTTAAGAGGTTTTTGCTATAGGGCACGTGCACTCGCCAGACAGACAGAGAGAGACAGAGAGACAAAAAG